GCTTTCAAAATGGAATTTCTGGTCTTATAGGTGTGATGTTCATTTTGTGTGCTGAAATCGTTGATGTTTTGCTTTACATAGTTAACACACTTATATACATAAATACATGGAACTTTCAAGAGCTTATTTTGAATAAATGTGTTTTTGGAACTTCCGCCAAAACCAAGGTTGAACAACAATCTAATTATTCGTTTTTGTGATATAAAAACGCTGTTGCTGCTTGTGGCTCTACCCCAGCATAAGATGTTATAAGATAAACTGCTGAATACGAGAGCATAGTATAGTGATAATAGGTTCTCTTTATCTAAATACTGCGTCATATTTAATATGTCTTAATAGCCTTTATTTAAATGCATGCCCACATTCTCAGTTTGGGTGCTGAAGGAGAGATCTGCATCGAACCAACTACCAAGGAGTTTCACGCTATCCATTAACTGTCAACCAAGCTCTAAATTTAATGCTGTCCTAGCGGTTGAGTGTATGGCTTTTCTAATATGAAAACTGATTGCGGTAGTTTTGTTTTTATTTAGGATCAACTTGTTTCTTTGGCACCAGACTTTCATTTCTTCAAATACGACTAGGACGTTTTTGTCTGGTCTGTTCCAGATACAGTAATCGTAGTATCATCAGCAAACATTGTAACTATTCCCTCAAAATGAAGTCTGGCAAGTCATTTACAAAAAGCAGAAATATTAAAGGACCCAATACGGACCCCTGGCGAACTCCCAGATTTACAGGGAATTTATCGGATAACACATTATCAATCTTCACAATTATATTTCTATTAGATAAGTAAGACTCGATCCATTTCAATATAATTATGACCTCTCAACCCCAACGACTCTAGTTTTTTTAGAATGATATTTTTATGCAGCATATCAAATGCCTTAGATAGATCGAACATGATGCTTACTACACAGTTGCCTTGATCTAAGTGCGAATAAACATAATTCAAAAGGTCAGAGGTTGCAGTCTCTGCAGATTTGTTTTGTCTAAATCCATGCTGAGCATCAGATAGCAAGTTAAACTTCACTACAAATTCACTGATAATTGTGTACACTGTTCGCTCAGTAACCTTTGAAAACTCTGACAGGACTGATATTTGTCTATAGTTTTCAATATTTTCCATATCAACTCTTTTATGTAGAGCCAGAACAAGAGCTGTTTTCAATAGATTAGGGAATATTCCGCTGTTGAAGGAAGAGTTTATATGATGCAAGTCAAAGGTGCCAGTATGATAGGAGCAATTGATTTAAGAACTTTTGGAGGAATTTCGTCTATGCCACAACTTGATTTGTTCTTCAGGGAATTTATTGTTTTCATTATATCATTTTCGGTTATATATGGTGCGAAAATAGAATTTGATGGATTTGATACTGAATGAGTACAAGGTAGCACCATGTCCTGACCAAAAGTGTCAACACGTTTTTTATTGCATAGAAAAGCGTTACTCATTTCGCTTTTGTTTGATATTATCTGATCATCGACTACAATCTGTTTAATTTCAGTTATTTTGTTAGGTTTTCCTAAACGGTCACTAATAAGCTGCCATATATTTTTTTTAGTTTTATTTGAAGCCGACTGTATTAGGTGAGAAGTTTTTTTCATACAGATCACAGATCACGTAGGTTATGAGTCTTGAATGTAGTGAAGTTGTAAAAAATATCATCTAGCTCTGACTTTAGTTGTTTTAACTCACTTGTGTACCACTGATTGTGTACATGTTGTTTAGATCGAACTTTGACATTTTGACTCACAATATAAATTTGGCCAATCAGCCTTTTCCAGATAATACGAAAGAAAATGCACCTACTAGGTGTGCTGCAATTTTGAGGATACTATTGCAAGTTTCACAGAGAAGGTGATTAAAATTTTAACTTGAAATTTTGCAAAATAGCTGAGTTATCCCACCTTATTGTTAATAATGTGACAAAACAATGAAACAAATGGAACCAACACAGAAAAAAAATCGCTGAATATTAAGTAAACATTTTGTCAGCGTCATTTAGTATCCATACATTTGTTACTGTAAACACTTAATTATCATAGTGCTGGATTCCATGAATTGAGTTTTGATATTATTTTGTTAAAATTATTTGCTGTTAATTAATAGACCTATATGCTAGATTGAACTGATTGAAATGCAATGCTACAAACAAACATTTATTTACATGTCGCATCCACAACCCGGAATTTTGCATTAGTCAGCCAGCTAGTGAAATGCTCATCATAACTACCAAGTTTAAAAACTTTTCAGACCCTGTAATTTGAAGCACAAGGCCCAGCAATATTCATTTCACAAAATGGCTGACACCTTGGAGTAAACATAAAAGTTGTTAAAAATGAATTTCCGGTTCACTTATACAACATTGAATACGTAGAAAAAAAGCAGAATCACACTTCATGAATTATGCGTTTACATATACAACAGCTCTTTTCACTGTGTTTTGTGGTTACGTCGTCAATGTGATACTAAATAAGTAAACAAATCGACTAGCTGTGTCGTGGATGTAGCTTACGAGGGATGTCTTTTAAGTTTTGCACATGGAAATAAAACAACACGGTAGGTAGGCAGCAGCGGTGGCCGCCTGATCAGTCGCCGTGCGCTGTGCGGGTTCGAGTCCCGTCCCAGGAGAAATTTTTCTCTTGGCTATGGATGTTGTGATAATCATTAGGACTTAGATCGGGACTATATGGAGGATGGTCCAATAATTCCACGTTTTCTTCCGTTAAAACCTGCCTTGTTTTTTGGGCTGTGTGCGAGCTTGCATTGTCTTGTTGGAGGATGATTCTTCTTTCGGGGTATACCAATCCGCAGTAACAGTTCTTTGCTCATTTAGAGGAATTGTTGCAATATGACCCGCTTTTGACACAAATGTCACGACCATCTTTTTCGAAACACTTCGAGAACGGATGACTTTTGTTAGCTTTTTTTCACCTTGGAACACCCAAACAGCCGACTGTCGATTATTTTCTGGTTCAATACAAATGTCACTCCACTCATTTTCCGTTAAGGCTGGTAGCCGCCGAATTTAATCCTTATCGCGGATTCGACTAAACTTAGTAATAATACCTATGTAGTTTTTAAGTAAATGAACAACAAGGGCATGGTATGCCGATGAAAGTACTTGCCATATCGACTTGAAGATACAACGTGACGGTAGGATTTTACCATAACCTATACGTGTATCAACGGTCATGACGTTTCGTATTCATTTTACATATACTTTCAAACATCTAGAAGCCTGGTGTCAAACTGACAGACTCAAATGAGCTTTTAAATGCAAGCATAAAGCATACACATAGGATGTATTATTTTTATCTATTTGCATTGCCTGCTACAGCTTTCAGTCGGTACGACAGAAACCTCTGGCGGAAATAAGTTTGTCATGCCAGGTTTTTCCAAATGAGCCTAAAATTTCCATCAAACCTTGTAGGCTTCATTGGATTCGGTGAGGACGGTGAAATTCTCTTGTCACGCTGTATGTTTAAGTCGGTATGACAGGTACTTCTGGCAGGATGCGCCGCCCCGTCTTACTGAGCTCTTCTTGTTCATTTACTTAAAAACTATACTAAGTGACATGTAAATCCGAACACCCAGTTTAATTGGTTTTATTTTAATAAAAGTTGTTGAATGGATTTATCTTACTGTAAATAACAAGTGAAATAATTTTCAGCCTTATCAGTTGGACATTCCGGTTTTTATACTGCTTTTTTTTTAATTCACTAACGCTCTAAAAATGAATATTTCAGCCGCAGTAAAGAATCAACGTTGGCGGATTTTGGTTCTTGACATCCTTTACGATCGGTTACGACGCCTAGAGTACGGAGACCTGTACGATTTCGTCAACTTAGTGAGTTTGATAGGGGCCGTATAGTGGGACTTCGGGAAGCTGGACATTCTTTTCGGGCAATTGCAGTTAGAGTGCAAAGAAGTGTAGACACTGTGGTTAGGTGTTGTCAGGCATGGCTTCGAGAAGGCCGTAGGCAAAGAGCAAGGGGCACTGTTTACCGACGAATGAGAAGTTTTGGCTTGTTTTCATACCGGCCACACTGGGTCCTCCCTTTAACTCGAGAACACCGACGTAATCGCCTTGAGTGGTGCAGACAACGGTCACTCTGAGATCAGGAATGGAACAGTATTGTCTTTAGTGACGAGTCTCGATTTTGTTTAGGCATACACGATGGTCGTACCAGGGTTAGAACGCGACGTAGTGAAAGGAGGAATCCACAGTTTTTTGTTGAAAGACATGTTCATCACACTGTTGGAGTTATGGTTTGGGGTGCTATAGCTTATGGTTCCAGGTCACCTTTAATCTTCATCAGAGGTAACATGAACGCGCAGCGTTATATCCACGAAGTTCTAGAACCTCATCTTTTACCCTATCTTGACACCCTGGCAGATCCAACTTTCCAACAAGGTAATGCCCGACCACATGTTGCAAGAGTCACAATAGACTTCTTTCAACATAATGATGTCACATTGTTACCATGGCCACCAAGATCTCCCGACTTATCCCCAATTGAGCACGTGTGAGATATGATGGGTAGGAGATTGCTCAATTTGCAACGTCCTCCTCAAACTCTAGAAGCACTTCGAGAGGAGTTGGTGGTTGCCTGGAATGAGATACCACATGAGGACATTGACCACCTGATCAGAAGCATGCCTAGGCGCGTTGGAGAATCCGTAGCATCAGGGTGCATCCACACATTATTAAAGGTCAAACGGCTTTAAAGCAGTGCAATCATTTTGAAATTTTTATCATTTACTTATTATGCTTCATTAAGTACTTATACAAAATTTTATTAAAATAAAACCATTTAAACTGGGTGTTCGGATTTATATGTCACTTAGTATACATATTATTACTAAATTTAGTCGAATCCGCGATGAAGGTATACTCAATGCCACCAGCTCCCGGGTCATTTCTATCCGCGATCCGTATGCCGCTGCCTAATCCCTCCCCCACCTTCACGGAGTCACCCTGCAGCCCTGTGATGCAAGCGGTGCTCGGCGCTGCGCTGGTGGCTCCTGAGTTGGAGAGGCCTGATTTAGGCCGGCCGCACATTGAGCACAGCACAGCCCAGCATAGCACAGCAGAGGAAAATGTGTTGCTCACCGCATATTGAACGGAGTCATTTTGCTTCCATGTGTGCAGTTTTCGGTTGTAAATGATGTTTGCTGTTAATGACCCATATTTAGATTCTGAATCAGAATCGGATTCAGAAATTGACACTCTGATATTATTATACAGTATAGCTAAAAAACGTAAAAAGTCTGTATGGATGAATGATTATTTAAAGAAAAGGAATACTCATGGGGAATTTAACCTGCTGGAAGAACTAAATGATGGCCAAGTGAAAATGTATTTTCGTTTAAATAAAAATCAGTTTGACGAGCTTCATAATCTTGTGATCAATGATATTACAGGACATGGATGTAATGCACAACAGCCTATTGAAAGTGAACTAATGTTAGCGGTGTGTTTAAGGTAAGAAAGTTCCATAGTATTTACATATAAATGTTTTATTAAGTAAATACACATATTTTATAGTAATATAATTTCTTAAATGGTTAAATATTAGGTAGTATTATCATTATCATAAGTTTCAATATAATTTCTTAAAGACATACTGCCTGAATATTGTGATCGTGGTGGTGCTGATAGCTGATGGAAGGATTGTTGCGATAGTGGATCTGTTGCTCTCTGCAGATGGAAGGATTGCTGTGATATTTCATGCATTATTGCTGGTAGTTCATGCTCGTATGCTGAGCAACGACTAGTTGCAGGACTGTTTATTTCGACACTACTGGCATTCCGTTGTGCCGCTTCAGATTCCAAGGACACGGATAGATCTTCTTCAACTTGGACTGCTTCAAATAGCTTTATTCTTAACTGTGATGCCTTTGGCACTTCAGGGTATCATGATACATTGAAAGAAAGAACTGATACAAACCGTCTGGATTCTCGTCTGCCTTTCGCTTCCGTTCTTCCTCTCTTTGTCTTCTGCGAATGGCATGCTGTTCTAAAGTTTGCTGCACTAAATTATCCATACGTTTTTTATTTCCATATGATATATTCGATTTGCTCTTGATGACCAATGGACATGTTCTGCTCTCTCCTGTCCTGTCTCACCTTCATTTTCTGCGCCTTCTGCAGTTTCCACAGAAGGCGACAGAATGTCGTCATTGTCAGTAAGATTTCCAGCCTCATCAGGTTACTTTCTATGTTTCCAGTTGTACTCCTATTTGCCATGTATGGAATAAGAAATTCCATTTGTTTTTGATATGTCCACAGCTTTATGTTTTTAGCCTTGTCCCCACTTTTAGACTTTTTTTGTCGCCGCAAAGCATCACGATGACAGTCTCTTAGTTTTCGCCACAACTCTTTTACAATTTGACCTAAAAAACATAGATAGAATTATAAATGATTTATATCCGTGATATGTTTTATACCTAATTTTTGTTTTTATTTTGTTAAACTGTCTTTTAAGTACATATTTTTGTAAATTATTTGTAAAACTTTATAGTTGAGGCAATAAAAATTTTAATTGATTGACTGAGTGTGGCAAAGTTGTTAATTTTTGTAGGTATCTGGCAACAGGAGATACATTCAGAAGTATCGGATTTTCTTACAGAATAGGAGAAAGAACAGTTTCTAAAATAGTCACTGAAGTGTGTAAAGCAATTTGGAAAAACATGCAGCCATTATATATGCCAAATCCAACAATAGATATGTGGAGAAAAGTCGCAGAAGAATTTGAGAGAAAATGGCAAGTCTACAACTGTTTGGGGACAATTGACGGAAAACATGTAACGATAAAAAAACAGCCTAAAAGTGGATCGTCATTTTTCAATTATAAACAGTACTGCTCTATCGTCCTAATGGATACTGTAGATGCAAATGATAAATTTACCTCAATTGACATAGGTTCAATGGGCCGATTTAGTGATGGAAATGTATTTTCAAACAGCGGTTTAGGGATGAAGCTTAGCAACGGCACGTTAGAAATACCACCACCTAAGTCTCTACCTGGTGAAGAATTCGATATACCATATGTTTTTGTAGGCGATGAAGCGTTTCCCTTGACCAAAAATTTAATGCGACCTTTTCCAAAACGTCAAGTTAATAATAACTATAGGAATAAGGTGTTTAACTATAGGTAAATATACACAGAGCCAAATTTTTATGGAATTACCATGTTATTTGGGGAAAACGAATTTTAATTTGGAAAAAAATCACTGGAAGGTAAAGAGCAGTTTTCTCAAAACAAGTTGTCTTTGTGAAATACATGCACTTTTTATTTGCTTCTAACAAAAAAGATATCAAAATAATATTTCATCTTAATACTGGGTGATTCCATATAAGTTTGGTTGTGTGTATTTCAAGTAGTAGTCTTATTAATATATTCTTAATGACTCTATATTACCAGGTTGTCTCGAGCTCGACAAACAGTGGAATGTGCATTCGGTATACTTTCATCCAGATTTCGAGTATATCGACGGCCTTTTGAATGCAACTTGGATACTGTAGATGACATTGTGAAAGCAACTTGCGTTCTTCATAATTTTCTTCGTAGTCATACAATATCCACGGTAAACCAAGAAGAAGATGAGATAGAGATGTTGCCTGAATCGCAGTTGCTTCCAATAGCCCCCAATAGAACACGAGGCGCGAATGAAGCGTTTTTAATTAGAGAAAAATTCACAGACTTCTACAATTCACCAGCCGGTTCTATACCATGGCAACAAAAATTAGTACAACGAGGACATTACTAAGAAAATTATTTTCTGATGTTTTGTTTATTTTTGGTCTTCTTTGTATACAAAGAATCTAGTATATTATATTAATTGTGAAACTATTTGTTTACCCTAACCTAACACTGTAAACTTGAAATACGAATAAAAGTTTGAGCTGTTACTTACCATTTGAATAGTTTAATTCAACTGCAATTTTGTCCCATATTTCATTTTTTAATTTACTTCTCATATATATAAGTATATCATAAAGAACTTTATTCTCGCGTACACATTCTATTAATTGTTCCATTTTCACTGAAATATCTGGTAAATAAATCTTGATTACCTGCCGAGACAGACAGAGTACATAGGAAAACTCTGTTTCGTCCACACAAGCCGCAGGCTGATAGAGCAAAACAAAAATCCTCTGCCGGTACTATGTCTCGACTGCGCACAATATGCGGCGCTACCTTTACTGCCACGTGTTAGAAAATTCTCGGCTGCCCTGCGCTAAGCTGTGCTGGGCTGTGCTGCGTTCAATGTGCGGCCGGCCTTAGTATGTATTTTTACACACGTTAGATGACTCGGCATGGACAACGAGAAGGATTAAATTCGAGTGGTATCATTGAAGGAGATGGAGTGGACAGAATCAGAATTCCTTATTGCGACAATGCTGTACTTAAAACTTCGAATATAGAATATATCTCATTACACTATTTTGAGTCATTTCACGATCAAAATCAAGGAGATTCTGCCCACAGTGCAACAACAACAGCAATGTCCAGAGTAGGTGAAATTTTTATACCTGCCCAAGTTCCTCCAGTTATTCGCTTGGCAAGACGTAATCCGCCGTACATTGTGCACGAACTTCAGCACAACGACTTTTAGGATTTTAAAAAATGTCCCAAGAGTTGGGGATTTTGTCTATAAGAACCTCAGATTCAGGGGAGACTATAAAATGGCCCGATTTTATGGAAATAAAGGTTAAAAAACACGAGCTGCTAACAATATTTTACAAAACTAGTCACCTGCAACACGACTACAGCTTTTTTAGATTAAAAAGACAAAGACCTAAGCGACAAGATATTCCCCTAAAGTTCTGAATGCAGAGCCAAGAAAAATTACTGCGAAAAGACATATGGATTTGAAGTTACTGTGTGAAGGAGATATACCGGTAGTTCTTTCACCAGAATACCAAAGATTCTATTTAAATCTTCCTCATGAGTAATAGATAAAATACTAATTATTATTTTGTTCATCTTTGACAGATATTATCATATCATTATTGTTTGAGTGAATCTTTTGTTTGTGGTGACATATTTACTTTTTTAGGGAGTTAAGATACTTTTAGATACTGCGGATACTTATTTCGCCATTATATTCACTGATCACGTTTTTGTAACCATTTTGTACTGTAAAAGAACATTTTTTTTAAATTTCGTGTGTTTTTATTTTTCATCGCTTTATAATAACACGGACGTAACTACTAACTTTATTCTATGAATTACGATCCTTCAATTTCACAAAAAGACTTATTTACTTTGAAATTTTGAACACATCAAATGAGAAACGGATTAATCGTTGCTCATTTTTGAAAAGCTTGTAAACATGAGCAAATATACCCACAAATTCAATTATTTAGCAATGATACCTTTTTGTCAGCAACAACTCAAATCTCGTGAAAATATTTAAAACGCTCTCCTGTAAAATTAGAAAAAATGAGATACGCCACTTTGTGATATGGACGACGATATGCTACGACAAAATTTTCGAAGCAGTGAGATAGAACTAAAAAAGGTATGAAAATAACTACAGTTACTCAGAACAATACAAGAAAGAATACTGCGGTTTCTTTGGTTTTTCTTTTTAACTCTATAAAATCTCAAGGCTCGAATCGATATTGAAAAAATGCCCTATGCAGCCCCCACCTCCAAGTTTTTTTACCTTTGCATGTTTGTTGATGAATTGATTTTCGTTTTTTTACTTTTTCTCAAAAAAGCTTTCGCGACCTTGGTATAGTAGTTACTTCTGAAGTTATAGGCGGTTATAACATTAGCGAACAGACCGACGGAAAAGAGTCAAAACGTCAAAAAAAACATATCTCATTTTCGAAAATTTTCGCGATTTCAATACTCCCTCGCCAGTGGGTGTGGGAAGTAAAAGACATTCAAAAATAAGAAGATGGGGGATACCATGAAACCTATTAAATATTAGATTATATTCTGTACTGTAGATGAAAAATTGATGTCATCACATTCACAGCCAATGACAGCTGATTTCCTGATATTGCGTACCTACTTAACTTCCCTCGGTGCTACCACCATAATCTATTTTTTAGTGAATGTGCTTCGGATTCACAAAAATGAATAAATAAATGAATAAGAGCCGATTTCACGAAGATTTAAATTTGACGGAGGCCTCCACCAATAAGGGAGCAGCTTATCGAAATGCAGTTTGACGGAAGCTGTCAAAGCTCCCCTAATATCAGTAATTTCTAATGAAATATCAAACAAAACCGTGAAAAACCGGTTGCTTTACAAATAATGGTATACTATAGATGTACTATTATGTCTGTAAGCTTTAGAGTTAGGAAAACTTTCATAGAATTGCCCATTTCTGTCATTTCTAACTACTATATTTAATAGGCTGTTTTCACTGCTTTTGACGACTGTCCATGCATGGCAATCTAGTTTTGTCTCTACATATATCTCATAATACACACCTGTAGGAATGTACCTACCATTTTTTTTCATTTTGCAAAAAAAAGGATATAAAACATATTCCAACTGGTTCATCATATTTTGTTACATCATAAACAATTTAGTGCCAATTTATGATCTATAAAATCACACCAAATGTAAACAAACAGCACATTCTACATTCCTGGGTGCTAACACGTCCATATTTGTAAATCTATCCGCATTCACCTATTGTTCATCGTCTAGGTATAAGGACAAGGTATACTTCAAAGGTATAAGAAAAAGTAATCTCTTGTTGGTCGGTCATAGCTCAGGGAATAGAGAACAAGATAATGCTACCTCTTTCATATTATGTAAAGGTAGGAATTATTACATTGAAAACGGTATATTTTTAGGAAGCTTTACAGAAAAGATGAAACATCAAATTCAAAATCTAATTATGCCACTTTGTAGAGGGGAAACAGTGGTAATGTTAGTTGTAACACAATTTGAAGAAAAACTATTTTTTTTTCCTTCATGCATTTCCGGAAACACTCAACAAATTGGGGAACTGTCTAAGGGTCACTTTTGTGTTTACCGATATCTACAACCATGCTTCAACTAACCAACTTCACATCTCTTACCATTCAAGAGATCAAAACTGTGAGAGTTGAATTTATAACACCCGGTTTACAAAAACATATGAAATCACCCACACAGCAGCGAACTGTTGGAACAGCGGCACAACGTCATAATTTCGCAATGACAAAGCATATATATTTCGCTCTCTCCCGACCATCTATCATAAGGTCTCTTTGAAGGTACGGAATAACGTAATGCAAATACATTACAATTTCGTTGGATCTCCAGACAGTTCCTTGCTTCCCTAAGGATCTGTCCCTTTGATTTATGGCTTTATTTAATCTCACAATGAGATTGAGGCAGAAATTTCTTCTTGGGTGAAAACGCTTACTCGCGCAAATCACAGTCGCTAGGTTTTTTTGTCCTTCATTCTTATCGATACATTCGCTAAACCACCTATATGATTAGAATTACACATCTACACTCTGTTTATAGGGTGTTCCGCAATAATGTTTTGATGTTCCAGAATATGATTATTCAGGTTATATCATATCAAGTATAGTTCGCATCGACAAGTACATATATCGGGTGATTTATTTAGAGTTACTTTTTCAAAAAGGAAATCATATAAAAACCAGTATGTACAGGGTGCGTCATCTATTACTTTTTTTCTATTTGAAAAATCAACACGCTTTTTACGAGGTGAAATCGAATTTTTTTATTGATAAATGAAGGTTGGTTTATGCCATTTATGTATGAAAAATAACATCAGTCATGTGACCACCGCGGCTTCGTTTACAGGCCAACATCCGAACATCAAAATTTTCAATGACTTTTTCCAGAATAATCGGGTCTATGGCCGCAATTTCAGTCCGAATATTGCGCTTTAGGTCTTGAATTATCCGGGGACCATTCGCATACACTTTTCCCTTCAAAAATCCCCAAAGAAAATAGTCAACAGGGGGCCAACTAACATCTGAATTTCGGGAAATTATGCGGTCTTGAAATTTCGTGTGCAATAAGGCAATTGCTTGGCGAGATGTGTGAGCCGTTGCTCCGTCTTGATGAAACCAAAGATCATCGGCACCAATACGATCCAATTGTGGCCACAAAAAGTCTGTTAACATGCCACGATAACATTCTCCGTTGACGGTAATGGCCTTTTCTTCGGCATCTTCAAAGAAGAATGGTTCAACGATGCCACCAGCCCATA